ATTCGTCTATTTAACAGTATGTTCTCTTTTACATCATTAGGGGTCAAATTAGATAAAGAACTTGCATCTGCAAGACAAGGAGTCTATACTTTTCGAGCTCAGGGAGTAGTGTATCATGATCTTCCTAGCTTATTGCCTAAAGAAGATGGACCTGGATATTTTCAATTGTACATTGTGGAAACAGAACGAGAGGTCGAGAATAGGATGGGAATATTTCCAAACTCCTCTTTATGTAAATCTACAGTTAACAAACTAATTAACGTTTTAGATGTAAACCCATATGTAAAAGTTTTTAGAAGATTGAAGGACTATCCATCAATGGATGAAGTTCAACTGCATATCTCAAAGGATGCAAAATTAGACCAGCGCGTGTATAATTGTCCGACGACTGATCAAGTCGCAGCAATATGGGTTGAAGAAAATAATGTTAATATTCTATTTGAACATGACATTGTCATTCATGCACATTCAGGTGCTAGACATAGAATAAAACATTATTTTGGATGTTATGATCCACTGCAATATCCCCTCTTTTTTCCAAGAGGTGATGGTGGTTGGCATAGAAAAATTTTCAAGTTAGCTTCTAATGGAAATTCTATGCGGAAAGAAGGTACAATATTATTTTTTCTTATGTTTAGTGCTTTGTATTTTATATATTGATATGACATTTTATTTTGTTTTATTTTATTTCCATTCCGTTTTCAGATACAAATATCTCATCAATCTCAAGTCTTTCTGTCCGAATGACATTCAGTTTCATTAATAGAAAAGTATATCATTAAAATAACATAATATCTTTGCTATTTATAAATTATACATACTATAATTTGTCATCTTTTTATTTGTAGTACCTTTTTACACATCAATACAGTCACAATAAGTTAAAAAAATATATATTTTTTTAATTCAACGTAAGAAAATTATCGAAAATAATTTCGTTTTTAAATTATTATGAACAAAAATTTTATGTTTGTAGTGTAGTTGGCTCGACAATATGACTAATGAATTATAAATTATGAATATTTAACTATAATACAACATATATTAGTTAAAAAGGATTTAAAAAAAATATTGATGTAGAGAAAAAAATATGTTGCAAAAGATATAATAGAAGCTATTATCAAGGTTTAAAAAATAGAACTAGAGGGTAAAATTGTATATTGTGAGACTTATCATATTTTCTTTAGTTGTGATACTGAGTTTATGTTACACTTTAATAAAGTTATGAGTTGAATTAAATTCTAATTGGTTGAGTTGTAAATTAATCCATTATATATATTTTTTTAAAAAAATTATTGTCTAAATAAGAGGCACAATAAAATTATTTGAAAAAAAATTCCAATTTTTGCTAGATATCTCATGCTATATGTTTTGAGATGAGGGCCTGAGTCGAACCTATTAAACAAACATGGATCTCCATGATCCCAATGAAATATTTTTGTTAGAATTTCCATAGGAGAATTCAAACGAGAGTAATAACATTGAAATATTTGTTAGAATCATAATGAAAATTTCGTTGTATTATATTCTCAGTGAAAGTTCTGTTAGAATTTTTTTATTTTCTTGTAGTAAAAGTAGGGCTTCAAATTACTAAAATTATTTCAACGAAATATTTTTGTTATGATTTTCATTGAAAATTTCAAACGGGAGTAGTAACATAGAAATATTTGTTAGAATTGTCATTGAAATTCCGTTGTAATATATTTCAGTTTATTGGAATTTCATCACTTTCATATAGTAAAAGTAGTCTTCAAATCAGTAACTTTTTTGCATTATATATAATACAGTGTGCAACTATTTATTATAAAAAATATTGATAATGATACGAAATAGAACACGTTCAATGTAATTATTATTTAACTTATGATAATTAGTAATTTTTTCAAAACAAAAAATACATCTAGGTTGAAAAGCCTTTAATTATTTTATTAATATTAAAATAACTAAAAAGTGGGTAAAAATGATGTTTTACGTATTAAAAAGGTAGGACTACACAATGCGAAAGCTTATAGCTCGCGTTCAATTGAAAATAAAATAATAAAGTTAATTGGAGAAATATAAAACATACTTAAGATGCCCATTTATTTAAACTAGAACTCTTAAATATAATATATATATATATGTGTGTGTGTGTGTGTGTGTGTGTGTGTGTGTGTGTGTGTGTATTTCTCTAAAAATCAATATGTTAATCTTAATTTTGATAGTTAAAAAATTAATTAATCTATACCATTTAATATTTTAATTTTAAAGCACTTACATTTTTTTTAATTATTAATTACCCTTTTATATGTAATATATCACATCATTTGATAAATTGTAAATAAAATAAAAAAATATATAATTATTTCTATAGATGTGAAAAATAAATATGTGTCCATACTAATCTAAAATAAGAAATTAACATAAAAGTATCTTATGAAATAAATTATAAATCCACGTTAAGTCAATTTTATTAAGTATAAAATAATATAAGATAAAGTTGTGGTATATTTTTCTTACATAAATTTAAAATATTCACATTAAGAAAAAGTAACAAAAGAAATGTAAACACACGATGGAACACCTTAATTGTTGTAACATATATTTTCTTGTAAATATGAAAATGAGTTAGTTACTTAATATTTTATCAAATAACACTATATTATCTTATTAATTAGTTGTTGCCTAATAAAAAGGATATTTAATTTGATAACATCATCATTGTATAAAACACGTACAAAAATTGACGCAATGATATAAATGTGCTTCAAATTTTTCAACAAATAAAATATAATTTGTGCATAGAATAAAAAACAAATAAAAAATAATAAGGCGATGGGAGAAAGAAAAAGACTGGATTTTCTTAGAGATGTATGACTATTAATATCTAGAAACAAAAGTCTTTTAAAATTACTAATTTTTTTTTTTTAGCATTTAAATATATGGACTCTGTAAGAAAATAGTTTTCATATATAATGATCCTATATTATCAATAAATTTTAAATAATTAATACATTATAAACTTTGTGATACATAGTGTAAATTTTGATAATGAATTCATAATAATAAAGTTCACATGTGACTAAGAGTATAATAATAAAATAAAATTCTAATTGTGCTCCTTGCAACTATGTTGACAAATGGTATGCTTTTCAATATTGTCTCATTGTTTTGTTTTGTCATTGTTGAAGAATCAATAAAATATCTTTATCTTGAATTTTCGAATCATTATGTATAATGCGGAAAGTTAGACAATAAAGTATTAAAAAATTATTAAGCACATAAATATTGAAAATCCGGACGATATGTTAAAGATATTAAGATAAACAACTCTAAAATCATTGCAATAACCAAAATGATCAATGATTTGCAAACAATAAATTATGTAGTTCGTCTATATCTTCTAAATAAATAACGTTGAAAAGGGAATGTCGGAGCCTGATCAAAATATTTTTGAATGTATAATGCGGAAAGTTAGACAATAAAGTATTAAAAAATTATTAAGCACATAAATATTGAAAATCCGGACGATATGTTAAAGATATTAAGATAAACAACTCTAAAATCATTGCAATAACCAAAATGATCAATGATTTGCAAACAATAAATTATGTAGTTCGTCTATATCTTCTAAATAAATAACTTTGAAAAGGAAATGTCGGAGCCTGATCAAAATATTTTTGAATGTATGAATGAAGTAGTCACCTTTTTATAGGAATATTTACAATCTCATTGTTGTATTGTGCTCGAACATATTTACAATTTTTCAGAATACGTACTTTAATGTAATGTGTGATGGTTTTAAAAAAATAATTTAGCGCCTCAGAAGAAGTACGTCTAACCAAAATTTTGGAATGTCAACGTTTAAAGATGTAATTCGCTCACACCCCTTGGGGCAATGTCTCAACGGGGTAGGTACCAATTTGTCTATATGAAGAGAATAATATAGTAGTTTAACCAATGATAAAAAAAAACTATCTGCATTCTTAATGACATGTGTGATTGGTTATTGACTTATTTCATAGAGATGTTTATGAAGTGTTAGAAGATATCCCTATAAAGATCATAATACAATCATGAAGTTTGACACTATGTTTGGCCATAATACTTGGAAGTGTTTGAAGATATTTTGCCAAATGATTAAGAAGAATATTGCAATATTATTGTTTCTTTATGAGAACATTGATTAAAACCAAAATGAAAATATTACTCTTCAGTCATCTAACATAAATTAATAAAATAACTAATGCATATACAATATGCATTATGTCCTTATTTAGTTGTTTAGTACTTTCTTTTTTCATTAAAGACTCATTCTTCATTTTTTATTTGTTGGGGTTGTAATATGTTATTTATTCTTTTTATATCATGACACCATTATATTAATATTGAAAAACATATATTAAGAACTCATTTGTTCTACATTTTATTTTATTTATGCAATGATGTATTTAATAAATAAATTAATTTATCTACTAAACTTAATCGGCCAAAACATCCATTACCACGTGCATCGCACGTGCACTTTACTAGTTTAATAAAGTAATTAATCTATCTTACTAAACCTAATTGGCAAAATCATTCACTAACACATTATCGCATGTGTACTTTATAATAGAAAAAGTACCTAGTTTTTCGACATAAATTAAAGCTCCCTTATTTTTGAAACTCATATGCATACCATTTCCCAAAATGCAAGGCTTCAAGATTCTTTGGTTATCACCAAGCAAAGCACAAACTGCCTGAATTATAGATTAGAAAAGAGCACAAAAAAACAGAGAATTTTCTGCATGAAAGGTAATGTTATTATGCTTTGCAACAGAAGCCAAGAAATCCACAGAGGAAAAAGAATAACAAAAAAAGTAGGTAAAGCTTCAGTCCCACAGCTTTTAAAGTTGATGGTTACCTCAACTACAAATACTCCAAGTTTACTGCATTGGCTTTCATTAGCCTCAACAAATCAAAGCACTTCAAAGTATTAGTTACATCACCCTCAGCTTTGTAGGACAAATTGTTTCTCAATGGCTCAAAAAACTAATCCAAGACTATATCGAGAAATCTTTCTTGTTTTCGGGATTCTAAGTGTTGTATTGTTGGCCCAAAAGGGTGATGCATATGATTTCAAGGTTGGAGACTCGACAGGTTGGACGGTCCCTAAAGATCCTAATGCCACCTTCTACAATCAATGGGCCGAGAAGAATCGGTTTCAGATTGGCGACACATTGCGTAAGCATACACATTTTCATATCTTGCAGTTAATTTCAAAATGTAGGCCTTGAGTTTTTAGGCAATTCACAGAGAGATACTCGGAAGTTCCCTTCAATGCAAGCACAAGTTTAGAGTTGTCTTCATTTATTATATGACTTGGGTTTGTACTTGTAGTGTTTGTATATGCTGCTGGCCAAGACTCCGTTCTGCACGTGACCCAAGATGAGTACACAAACTGCAGCACAGAGACAGCCCTGGAGAAGTTCACGGACGGGCACACCGTGTTCAAGTTCAATCAGTCGGGCCCACACTACTTCATAAGTGGGGTCGCTGATAATTGCCGCAAAAACGAGAAGCTAGTTGTAGTGGTGATGGCTGATAGAAGAAGCTCACACGGACCCAATGGGACAGTGTCGACCCCGCCATCATCATCACCTCCTTCTCCAGCTCCGGCCGGCGAGGAGTCACCATCACCACCGCCTTCCGGTGAGCCACAGACGAACCCAACTCCGGCACCTTCTCAGGAGTCGAGACCCCCCAGAAACAGTGGTTATATGAATGGGGCTAGTGTGGTGACTGCAGTTGTTGCAGCCTTCTTTGGTTCATCACTTGTTTTCGGTATCTGATGTGTGCACGATAAATGCGTTTTTTTTTTATTATTATTATTCGTATAAGTTTTCGGTTTATGTTCTTGTGAATGATGTTTTTGGTTGGGATGTTTGTTGATTCATTATTTGTTTGGTTCGGGTGGTAACTGAGCTGCTATGTATGTGTGATATTCGTGTTCTGCAAAATGGATATAAATTGTTCTGCATTGTCGTTTACGCTTTTTTAGTCTGATGATTTGATCGACTTTCACAGGACATGCGCTCACATAATATTTTGATTTTGGTTTTCGATAGATAATTATCAAACCAAGAGATTTCTTGTACCTCATAACTCATAACATCTTGATCTATACTGTCAGCAAGTTAAACTATCTCATCATCCCTCAGAAAAAGGGTGATACAGATGTATAAGAACACCGGTTTACCTTACAAAGTCGATGAGTCCAAACATTTGATCAAAAGTTCTTCCCTAATTCAACTTTTTTCATAACCCTCAAAGTATGGTGCAGAATCGAGTCCAGTATACCAGCAACCTGAAAACATTAATATTATTCGATATTTAAAGTTTAGCCAAATGTGAGGGAATTATGGAGGTAAATCAGGGCATGAACACCTACCGTAAAAACCCCACCAATGATTGCACAGACGTTCGTAATGAAGTGAGAAAAAGATTTCGAGTTTTCAGTAATCAAAACCTGTCAGAGAAAGAAAGACAACGTTAAACAATTTGGAAAATTAGTTTAACAGCCGATTAGCAGAATTGACAGAAAGTCAGCACACCTGCATCGGGGATAATTCGTAATGAAATTTAGCCACGGGTATCTGAATACTGTGAACCAAACTACTGTGTGCCGTGTACTCGTACTCCTCGACTAATTTGTAAGATCTCGTCATGACCTCAGTTTTCACAACTTGAAGATAGTGCTCGATCTGGACATTTCCCGAATAAATCATCGAGAACAAATTATTTAAAAATTAAGTTCATCCGAGTTATACAATAACAAGCTAAATGATTCCAGAAAACAAACAAAGAAAAACTATATCTTAGCTTGATTTATCTGTCATCCAATCTCGAACATGGACCAGCTGTAGAAAAGGATAAAAGATGACACAACTAAAAGAAGAGGAACTTACAGTAACATTTACATCAGAATCACTTGGATTGCTGATATATGACTGGCCAGTCAAGCGGTCATGACTCCCACCTAAATACGGCAGCACACGCTTCATGTCACTCATTTCCCTTGGGGTAATCTTTTTACCGAAAGAGAAATGAGAAATAATATGTGACATGTTCATCTGAGAAGGGTCGAAAGAATGTGAAGCTGAACGAGCGGAAACGAGGAGATTCCCGGGGACCTGGATAGCATGAGAGAAATTAAATATCATACAAGTAAACCCTGTATGAATGTAATCACAAATATTAATCAATGCCGTAATTTTTTTATCCATGAAATCTCTGAATGAAGTAATGTTACCTTCTTCACGCGTACAAAACCCTCAATTTTACATCCGCCAGATTTAGGAGCTGGCCTTTTAGTGTCATCTTTCTTTTCGGTGGACAGACTACCGGAACCCTGTTGAGACTGCACGGAAATTGGCGCTACCAATTCCTCCATTGTCTGCAAAGATACAGTCCATTTGATTTCTTACAGATAAGATAATAAGATCACCACCAGTTATACTAGTCAATCCAAATATTGCATTGAAATCAAAAGGCGTTGAGCTCTTAAACATAGCAGAACAACATTTTAAATAAAATTTAGGAATTCGCAATCCTCCACCATAGATAGTCTTATTCCACTAAAGCAGTCAGATTATCACCTCAACTAGGGTCTCTGTATCTCGATCTCCGTAATATGACTCGTGTTCATGATGGCCATGATCTTCTCTGTGTTCAGAAAGCAATGTTAACAGAATAGCAGAAATTGAAAGGACAAAAGGCGTATTGGTGCAGAAAACAGAGCAAATATTATTGAAAGAGGAAAATATTGAATATTATAATCTTGCCTTAAATCACTTCCTTTGCGGAAGATGCGGATAGATGGATACCCTTGTATGTGATTCCTGGAAAATTGTTGGAAAAGAATATCTATTTAAAGAACAAAGAGATGAAGAACTGGGGTGGTTCCAGAACATAAAACACAGACTTCCAGAGACAATTACTAACGATTAAAAGGATCTGCATATAAAGTGAGCCATGAAACCACAAGGCTTAAATACATACATGTCAAGAAGTCAACCTCGCATCCGAAAACTGAAACACAAACATCATAAGATATTTATTGTGAAATGGAAGAATGGAGAAGGCCTCAAACTATACAAACTAAAAAGTTACGAGCATGTTTGTTTATGAAATTTTTTGAGTTTGTTTGGATTTTTTGTTTTGGTTTGGTTAATTTTGAAAAGGTGGTATGGTTAGTTGTTAGTGGATATATTAAAATAATATTTAAAATAAAATGATTAAAATTAAATTGAAGTAAAAGTAGGAGAGAGAAGATGTAATGTGATAGTTAGTTAAAATTATGTGAGTAGATGAATAGTGAATTAAGGTTGATGTGGTGTGTATGAATGATTGATTGATATTATTTAATTACAATGATAAAATTGATGATGTGGTGTTGAGTTAAAGTTGAGTTAAAAAAAGTGGTTGAGTTAAAATGTTGGAAAATTTTTGAAAATTCTTATAAACAAACATGCTACATGTTCAGAACCAGAACCAGAACCCCGCACACCATGGATTCTAATTATACGTGTCATGGAACACCAAGCCACAAAGGAATATGTTTGAGATACTCAGCCCTCTAATTCAACAATCATCACAATGCAACTCAGAGTATGGTAGAGTAACTATATACCTTACCACAATGATAGTAACTTTAAGAAGGTTCTATTAGTTTGCAATATAATTCAGTGTAAGGATATATTTTTTAATCTTTGCAGACCTCGAGTTCTACTCACCACCAAAGAATCTAATATTATTAAAAGTTTCCCATACCCTTCTACAAGATGAGATCCAAATGGGCTACAACGGTATAAACAAACAAGGGTGTCTACAAGCATTTCTCATGATATTAAGTTAAAGGGAGATTCCCACTTAAACAAACGACAAATGTCAATGTGAATGGAAATATAGCATAGTTACAGAAACTAATTATGATTAACCACAACTGCTAACACAACTTCCCCATTAGCATAATGAAAAACAATATATTGAGGTGAAACCAATATCTAGGAAGTACCTTCTACACAATTCTACTTCTACAGTGCAATCAACCTTCCCCATTAGAATACGCCCATCAATCTCTGGGTCATATCTGAAAGAACAAAGCTGAATAAAGTCATGGGTAGATTAATACAAGCCAAGCTGGTAACGCCTATGTTAAATGATGAAACTTTATCATAAATTTAAAGGATAAGAGAATGACACCTTTCCCTGATAATTTTGGCAGCTTTCTCCCATGAAGGTTTCTGGAATGGACAGAAGAGAGACAAGGTGTTAATGTAATCTATGCTCATTCCTAATTATCTCAATTAACGGTGGAGAGGAAAAAATAGGCTAAAAAACATGTCAAGTCGAGAAAGCAGAGAACAAATGTAAGACAGTAAAATGAGCATACCAGGCGGTTGCTCCAGTAGCACCAAGGGGCATAGAAATTTACTACCAAAATAGGATGCCTGAGGAAGAAATATTAGGACAATACCAGTATATGAATCAGGAACATCACCCAAACAGATTTAATGCAAAATGCAACAGATATCAATATGGAAATTGCACATAACCGATATGGAAATTGCAGATAATGTATCAAGTACAAGACACGTACTGGTGCGAAATTCTATCAAAATTGTTCCCAGTGAGTACAACAGAACCTTCATTATGCTCTTCATCGACCTCATCATCGTGCTTAACTGTTTTGGCAACAGGCCCTGATCGAAACTCAGAACCAGTAGGATTTAAATTTGAATCTATTGAATATTTGCGGACAGTCTTAGTTATATTCAACCTGTTCTGAAGGCAAGAGACACAGTTAGGTCATGTAAAATTGGTCGCATAAGAAGAAAAATATGAAATGCAATTTTAAAATAATAGAAATTGATGAAATTAAGGATGAGCTGCTAACTTATATGCATAATCAATCAAATAAAGTTCAATGAACTGTAAATTTGTTAATGCCAATAAAATTTTTTACATTTCATTCCTTGAAAAACCAAGAATTATGACTACAGGCTAGACAAAATTAAAACAAATAAATAAATAAATAACCACAATTTTCACCCAAAACACAAATCAATGATATTTTTGGTAAGAATTTTTTTAATCGACCATTTAAGAACTTTGTTACTTTTCTGTTAATAGCATTGTATATAAAATAACATTCTTACTTCAACTAAAGAAATCAATATATCACA